AACATCACCTAAACAACGTCATAAGTTTCAACCTAGATCGAGGGCTTGTATCTTTCTTGGATTTCCTGCAGGGTATAAAGGATATAAACTCATGGATTTGGAAACTAATAAAGTTCTTATCAGAAGGAATGTGTCTCCAGGTAATATCATTCCACATACTTCTCCTCCATCACAAATTTCTGATCTTCCACCACAAATTTCTGAGAAAAGAGCTAAGAAATCTCCAGCTCATCTCCAAGATTATCATTGTTACACTTTAAACTCTGATATTCAATATCCTATTTCATCCTCTCTTTCATATTCTCAAATCACACCTACTCATCTCTCATATATCTATAACATCACCAAAATTCCTATACCTGCTACGTATAAAGAGGCACATGAATCTAAAGAGTGTGTAAAGCTGTTGATGCAGAGATTGGTGCGATGGAATCTACTAATACATGGGAGATTACTTCTTTGCCTCCGGGAAAGAAACCAGTAGGATGTAAATGGGTATTTACTCTAAAATTTCTTGCATATGGGAGTTTGGAACGTTATAAGGCTCGTCTTGTTGCTAAGAGTTATACTCAGAAGGAAGGGGTGGATTATACTGAAAATTTTTCACATGTTGCTAAAATGGCGACTATCAATATGTTGCTCAAGGTGTCTGCTAGCAAGAAGTGGATATTCACACAACTTGGTATTTCAAATGCGTTTCTTCATGGTGAACTAGAAGAAGAAATTTTTATGAGATTACCTGAAGGATATGCAGAGAGAAAAGGTACTTCTCTTCCTCCTAATGATGTTTGCAAACTCAAAAGATCCATTTATGGACTCAAACAGGCATCTAGGCAGTGGTTCAAGAAGTTTTCCACATCATTGTTGAGTATGGGATTCACTAAAGGTCATGGTGACCATACTTTATTTGTCAAATGTTCTGGTGATGATCTTGTAGTAGTCTTGGTTTATGTTGATGACATAGTAATAACAAGTACATCAGAGGCTGCTGCTACTATGTTGACTCAGGCTTTACAGAATCAATTTAAATTGAGAGATTTGGGAAAACTCAAGTATTTCTTAGGCCTTGAGATTGCAAGAACATCAGAAGGAATTTCTTTCTGTCAGAGAAAATATGCATTGGAGTTATTAACAGCTACTGGTATGTTGGCTTGTAAGCCTTCTTCTGTTCCTATGATTCCCAATGTGAAGTTGTTGAAAGCGTACAAGCAAAAACGCAAAGAAAGGGTCTATTGTTGTGTTTATGAGTGCTATTGTGACAAGGCAAAAGAAGATTTATGAGTTAGTTTACGAGAACTCCATCTGTTGTTTTGGTTTTTGCCAACATGATTTTGTTATTTTTTTTTATTTTGGTATAACTGCGTAGTTTGTTAAACTTAGTACAACCTGGTTAGTATAGTTATTTGAAATATTTGTTTAGCTAGGTATAACTTGGTACGTAGTTGTACTACCAGATTTTGTTTTCTCTCGTCTTCTTTTTCTTTCTTTAGTAGAGAAATAAAAATTTTGTTTTAGCGGGTCGGTTGTCTATGGTTTCGATCTTTTCCGGGAGAGGAGTTTCTGGTCGGCTCCGTCGTTGGCGTCGGGTTTGTGGCGGGAATCGATAACTCCGGTCATTTCGCTCGTGTCGGGTTGGAGCAGCAACGAAGGGCCTCTTGTTATCGCCGGAGCTTGGAGGTGGTGCTGGTGCTGCCGGATTCCACCCTTTTTCAGATCTCCGATCTGGGTAGTGTTGACTTATTCTTCTCCTTTTTGTGGGCCGATTGGCCGTGTAAGCCCATCATCGTTTAAGTCCATTTGGGTAAAAATTAATATATTGAGTTACTTAAAAAAAAAAAAAAAAAAAAAAAGAATTAAAAATTTTAAAATTTTCAAAATTTTAAAACCTAAAAAAAAACGTGGGCCAAACTGCACGTGGGTCAAACTACGCTCTCATAAACTGCAAGTGGGAGCAACAAAGCAAGTGCATTTGCCAGGTGGCACCACAAAAATGAACACAGTTGTTCCTAGTTTGCAAGTTCTACTCGCATATACACATTTATACTTTTTGAGAATTTTTTGTATAATTAGTTACTAGATCATCACCCGTACTACAGTACGGATTAAATTTATTTATTACAAAATTTATATATTATATATTTTAGAATAAAGTTGTGATATATTATAATAGTAATTGAAAAAACATAATTAGATTTTTGTCCGTCCCTATATATAATATTAGAATGAATATATTTTCTTTTTTTAAATTACATTCAATTATGGATATATTTTTTTAAGATATGAAAACGGAAAAAAAAATTATTTTAATAAATTAATATGGTCTGAACAATGAGTTAATTTATATTAACAACCACAAAATGAGATTGCATATAATTCAGTTAGATCAAAAATCAAAATATTATAAATGAATCGCTTCTGAAACGTAGATTATTTTTAATTAATAAAGAAAGTTAGCTATTACTTGGAATTAATTTATGATTTTTTTTAATTTTTAATTCTTTGGTTGTTGAAATAGAGATTTGTTTGAGGTAACTACGGAATTTACCAATTATTCGCGTAATCGAATATGTTATGAACATATATTTAGTATATAATATACCAAATTTAACCCGTGCGTGGAGCCTATATTTTTATTTTACAATCCTAATGAAAATATTGCGTGCACAATCTATTATTCGTTATTTCCAAAATTGCTTGCACAATCAAATTTTCAAATATTTTGTGGTGTCAACCTTATTTAATCTATCTGATCATATAATCTTAACATGCCGTCTATTATAAGGATCATAATTTTATATCATATAATATATTATATTTAACCCTCCTCCTACTATAACTATTTTAAATATATATTTTTATAAAATCAAATTAAAGTATTTATAATTTTTTTATCTATTTAATCTATTAAATATTTATGATATTCATTAAAATATTAAATTAAACCATTAAATGTTCCAAATTAAAATCTTTAAAAATATGTTTTGTAATATATAAAATTATGAATTTCAAAAAAGAATTATATGAGATTAAATAGAAATATTCAAACAGTTATAGGGATCATAACTCATTTGTTAATATAATATATTATATTTAACCCACTGCCTATTATAAATATTTGTTTTTAAAAAAATCAAATTAGAGTATTTATTGATGATATTCTTTAAATGTTGATGATATTCTTGAAAAATATCAAGTAAAACTAATTTGATATGTTGCAAATTAAAATATTTAAAAATCTTATTGTAGTATATAAAATAATACAATTCAAAAAAGAAATGTATGAAATTGAATATAAATATTCAAATTCTGACCCGTTACTCAGTCGAAATTTTTGTTGAACTTATTTTTGGTTAAAAGAAATATATTACTCAAATGTGAATTTTTGACCCGTTAAATTTTATTTTTCATAGATTTGACAATTTATATTCATTTTTAAAAATTCAAATCTTGGCATATGCAGAAAAAATTTTCTTTTTTTGTTATATGGATGATATGATGATTAATTTGTTTCATAAAAATAGAATCATATAAAGATGAGAGGTGAAGTATAATGATTAATAAAAATTAATATGGTAAGTTAGATATCAAATCTTATATGTTCATTTTGACTGGTCATTCTTTTTTTTTAGTTAATAATATATTTTCGTTTTTAATAAGTAAATTAATTAAATTTTTTTTTTGTCAACCACACATTAATTAATAAGAAACTCCTAGATTGGTTGCCCAATTAGGAGGAGTAATGTCTACAAAAGATACTTCGGAAAATAAAAGTCTAGAAGAGCGGGCTAAGCAATTAATTAAATTTCATAAATTAGTATTTGACTTGTTTATCTTTAATGAGCTAAATTAATTTACTCTTTATATTTTTATCTCTAATGGCATTCTAATGTAATAACTTATAAAGGGGAAAGTTATTAAAGGGTAATTATAAATTGTACTCCCTAAATAATAATATAGGATACTTAGATTGTAACGAAATTTTTTTAGTTGGACCTATGATTTTAGTCATTTGAGTTACATTCCCTATGTTTTCATGCAAAAATATTTGTCAAAACATTATTATTGTGTTTTGTAATGTAATGGGGACAACAATAACAAAGTCATCTTAAAAGTATAAGGTCTTTCTTGTAAAAAAATGAATTTAATGGAAACTATCCTATAAATTTTGTTTAACTAATGTTATTAAAATAGAATTGTTAAATTATTGGTTAATTTCTAAAGTGCATATGAAGATTAATAAAATTGTCTAATAAAATTCAATTTATTAAGTGTATGAAGATTTGTTAAATTGGTCGTAGTTGTACTATTACGATTATCATTTTTATTAAGTTGTACAAAACGAATTGTATCAAAGAAATACGTAATTGTACAATTACGAAACCAAGTTTTACAAAAAAAGATAAATACAAACACAAATACATTAATCTTGGTGTTGATCTTGGCTACCACCCTCGCTCTGATTATTCCCATTCTTGTGGTGTAATTCTAGTTCTTTGAATTCTTCCCTTTCTTGCGGTGTAATTCAGAGGTTATATATACAACTCTTGGATTTCAGTTGGAATAATCAACTCATACAGCTATACCACTTGGAATAACTTCTATTTCTCAAGTCCACCACTTCTAACAGTTATATCATTTTTTTCAGTTATACCACGTATACTCAGTTTTTTCTAGTTGTACTATATTTCTAAATTGATTATTCGACCAGAAATACTAATTAACATATGATCACTACGATTCAACCATTATATTCCATTAGAAAACTCTAATCGACCTAAAAACATGGTTACCAAACCCAACTTCTACTAATTTCCAACAGCAATTTCAAATCTAATTAAAATCTATATATTTCAAATACAACAACCCAAAATCGACTAAAGAATCGATAGATTAAAGGGGATTCAAGCTAAACACACAATAGTAGAAGAAGAAGAGAAGAAATATTGAAATGGAGATTTAAGCTTCACTTTCAATGGTGGAAGAACGACGACGAGGTGAAGACGACGACGGCGTGATGATTTTGAATTTTGGATTGGATTTGTCCCGATTAATACATGAGCTCGTTTGTGATTGGTCGGAAATCTCTTTGTTTTGATTGGTCGAAAATCTGTCTCTTTTGATTGGTCCTTTTAGTAAGGACAAACATGGGTTTTAAACTTTCATTAAGAGTGTAAGAGTATGACAGAATTTTGGAGAGTAGATAGATTGGAAAGTCATGCTTGAGGAGCTCCACAGATTAGTCCCCCATTTTAACACATGCATAAATTATTGAATGATATAAACCTCACACCCTTTCTATAAATTGATACAATTTTCTTTAACACTCTCTCACAAGTCTTTGTGTTTTCTACTTAGAATCTATCATTTGTCTTATTCCTCTACTTAAAAAATGGCATCTGCAGATGCTGAATTCAAGATCTATGTTAGCAATCTGGATATGGACACAGATACAAATGATCTTGAAGATGCATTTTCCAAGTTTGGCGACGTTATAAAGTCTAATGTTCGATATCTTTGTCATTATAACAAATCCAGTTTGACAACTTATCCGAATTTTTATTTATTAACCTGCTTATATATTTTTGTCACAGGTGGTTTACCCAAATGAGTATTATTATGATAGTCCAGTGGCATATGGATTTGTTAGTTTCAAAGATGAGAAATCCATGAAGGACGCCATTAATGGGAGAAGAGGCTCACTCATCACGCAAGAGTCGTCGTCGTGCTAAACATGTTGCTTCAAAGGGGATTTAGAGGATAAAAATGGTTATAAATAAATCTGGTTTTAAGTCTTTGTAACCAGTATCTTAATATATATATTGATCAATATTTATGGAAGGTGGTGCTTACTATTGATAAGTTATCATAATTTTTTCTTTTTGTAAGTTAAATCAAGTAATACTAGGTTATGAGCTCTTGCGGTATCCTAGAATTCAATTTCCACAAAATATTCTATTGTAATTTTTTTTAATTTCATTATGTGTTAAATTACTGTGATAATGAAATTAAATGTATAAAATATTATGTAAATTCTACTTCAATTTTTATGTTATATCGTGAATATTTTTTAAAAATTGTTAAAAAGGTTGTAAGTAAAAATGTAAGCAAAAACAAAATTATGAATAAAAACACGCATTTTATATAGTGGTAAAAACATTTCTAAGCATTTTGATTTTAGAAAATTGATAGAAATTACTTATAAGAAAATTTCATAATTTTTTTTGTTAAACAGATAATTCTTAGAACTTTTTCAATCTTAAAACAATATTTATCAACTAAATTTTTTAAATACTTTCAAATTGTTGGTTAGTAAAATTTGGATCTATTGAATAACTAATATGTATGAATGAAAAACAATATTTTAAGAAAAAGTTAAAACAAATAAGTTTGGGAATACATGAGAGGTAAATTATAGAGGCTAAATTTTTCTTATCATTGATAGAATGTGATTAACACACACACATATATATATTTATTGACATGAGAGAGTAATTAGGATAAAGTAAATTACATTTAGATCCCTAAACTATTATTCACATATATATACTCTTATACGCCCCCTCAAGATGGAGGTAACCGTGTGGCTCCAATCTTGATACATGCTCGCTGAAAGCGTGATCGCGGCAATGGTTTTGTTGGTGTATTAGTGAGCTGATCATTCGTCGAGACGTGTGAGACACGTAACATGCCGCCTTGAATTTGGTTCCGTACGAAGTGGTAGTCGAGTGCAATATGCTTCATTCTAGGGTGGAAGACACGATTGGCACAGAGGTATGTGTGGCCCCAATGTTGTCACAGTAGATAATAGTAACGGAAGGTAATGGTAGTTTGAGTTGATGGAGTAAAGAGCATAACCATCGTACCTCTAAAGCCGTGTTTGCTACGGCTCGATATTCAGCTTCCGTGGACGATTGCGAAACACCCCGTTGTTTCTTCGAAGACCACGAGATGGGGTTATGACCGAGATAGATGAGGTAGCCATTAGTGGAGGCATAGTCATCCGTATCATCGGCCCAATCAACATCGGAATAGGCATGAAGTGACATTGGAGATGAAGCATGAAGGAATATACCATGAGTAATCGTACCCGCAAGATACCGCAAAATTCTCTTCGCTCCTTGCCAATGATCATGTGTCGGTTGTTGAATGAAGTAGGAGAGCCGGTTTACCGCATAGAAAATGTCCGATCTTGTGAACGATAGGTAATGAAGACTGCCAACAAGAGATCGATAGTGTGATGCATCAACGAGTGGATCTCCGGTTGTGAGTGTGAGATTGGGAGTTGACGGCAACAAGGTGGTGACTGGCTTAGCATCCAACATGTTATTCTTTGTGAGTAGATCAGTGATGTACTTTCTTTGCATGAGATGGAGACCGTTAGGAGTGCTGGTGACCTCGATGCCAAGAAAGTAGTGAAAATCCGTAGGATCTTTGATGGAGAACCGTTCTGCAAAAGAATTGAGAATATTCATAACCAGCATGTTGTTATTACCAGTTACGATGATATCGTCTACATAGACCAGGACGTATGCTATCTTGTTTCCCGAGCAGTGAATGTAGAGAGAAGTGTCAGCCATCGAGTTGGTGAAGCCGGTGGTTAAGAGATGCTGTTTTAGTGCCATGTACCACACCCTAGGTGCCTGTTTGAGACCATATATGGGTTTCCTTAGGCGACATATGTATGAAGGTCGATCTCTGTCCACAAAGCCAGGAGGTTGTTTCATGTAAACTTCTTCAGTGAACTCCCCTTGTAAGAAAGAATTGTTGACATCAAGATGCTTGATCGGCCATGTTTTAGTGACTGCATGCTACTTCAAGGACAAGAAGGATTGTTGTTGATTTAATGACGGAGCTAAATGTTACAGCATAATCTTTTCCGTACCGTTGATTGAAGCTATTTGCGACGAGAGGTGCTTTGTAGCGATCGATGACTCCATTTGGCAGAAATTTAGTCGTAAAAACCCATTTACATCCGACAATATTTTGGGATGCTGTTTTGGGTACCAAATCCCATGTATGATTGTCGGTTAGAGCATCAAATTCAACCGAGCACGCACGACTCCAATTCTTGTCTTTCAAGGCTTCTGAATTATGGTTGGTTCTTTTGGTTGTTGTGTAACTGCGGCAACAGTGAGGCTGGGTTTGGGGTTAGGTTTGGTGATATTATTTTTGGCTCTTGTTTGCATCTTGTGGATATTTTGAGGTGGAGCAGTATTTTGGCCTTGTGGTTGTATTGAATCGGCTTGGTGTGGTGTGTTGGTATTTGATTGTTGGTTAGACTGAGTTGTGGGTTGCAACTCATTTTGGCGTAAAGCAGTGGGCTCTATTGAAGTAGAGTTTTGCTGCATCGTGGGTTGTGATACATTTTTATTTGGAGAAATGGGCTCAGAATTGTGAGACGAGGATGAAAAGAGGAAGAAGAAGAAGTAGAGTGAGAGACCGATACATGCGAATCCGGCAGACGGTGTGGAGGACGGTGAAGGTCTGAGATTGGGTATCCCATTACGGTGGTCGGAGACGGCGAGCTGTTTAGCGAGGATGACATTGTCATCTGTGAAGCGAAGGTCGAATACGATTCCGTGCTAGACAAAGGCATTGGGGCCTCACGGGCCAAATGTTGATGTTGGGCCGTATTTTTGCTATTTGGTTTTGTTGGATCTTTTTCTTGGAGGCCCATGTTGCTGGCAGATGGGTTTGTTTCGCTAACATGCGCCATTTGTGTGATGATACCAGTCGCTGGAGGAGATGGTGGCATCGACGGAGGCTGTACAACCGGTGACTATAGCACGGGAATGGTGGTCATTCCAGAAATATGGGGATCGGTATTAGCGATGAAACTCTCCACAGGTATGGCACGACTTGTAGTTTCGGGCAGAGCAAATGGAAACATGGATTCTTGGAAACGTACATGGCGGAAGACGTATATTCGTCCAGTCGGTATATGAAGGCTTTCATGCACTCTAGGAAGAAGAGTAACTGAGAAAAACACATCGCAGAGATCGGTCGTCTAGCTTGTGTGTGGTATATTGCCTTAGCCATGGGAAGCAAAGACATCCAAAGACACAAAGCTTCTCATAATTCGGTGATGAACCAAATAGTTTCTAAAATGGCGACTTCATAGACAGAACCATAGTGGACATCCGATTGATTAAGTACAAAGCTGTTGAAAATGCATACGACCAATATTGTTTTGGAACTAAAGCCGTCGAGAGAAGCGTGAGGCCTGTCTCTACTATATGCCGGTGTTTGCGTTCAGCAATTCCATTGTGTTCTGGAGTATGTGGCGAGAACGTAAGATGAGATATGCCATGGACCGAGAGATAGCTCCGTAGTGCAATAAACTCAGCGCTATTGTCCAAAAATAGGTTTCCAATGCGGCTTTGAAAATGATTCTCAACTAGCAATTTGAAAGCAATGAATATGTCCTTGACATCGGATTTCCGTTTCAGTGGTTAAAGCCAGCTATTGGGGGTGAAGTGGTCAATGAGAACAAGGTAGTATTTGTGGTTATCGATAGAGTGTTTAGGCGAAGTTCGTACATCCGTAAAGATGTACTCAAAGGGTCAGTTTGAAACAATGGTGGTTTGAGTGAAAGGTATTTTTTGGCTTTTATTAATAAGGTATTCAGAACAAGGCAAAAGTTTTTGTGAAGAACATAAAAGAAGAAGCGAAAATTGGGAAATACTGGAATTCAAAACAGAAGGAGAAGGATGTCCCAATCTTGAATGCCAAGATATGAGAGTAGCTTTTGGACCCGCTGAAGACACCATTGCAATCGCTTGAGGAGACTTCATCGTCCATTCATACAGCTCGTTCTTACTTCCCCCTTGGAGTAATGGGACCCCCGTTCCGGAGATCCTTCACCTGAAAGGCAGCAGGAAAAAATTCAACAGAAACTCCTTTAGTGTTGCAAAGACGATATACAAAAATTAAATTTCTCTGTATATTGGGAACACAAACTATTTTATCAAGCCGAAAGGAACGAGTTTGATTAGGTAGAAGTGTGGAACCCGTGTGAGAGATTGTAATGTTCTAACCATCAGCGATCATCACGTCATCACCTCCATTGTAAGGCTGATGGAGAGACAAATTATTGAGATCAGCGGTCAAGTGATGTGTGGCACAAGAGTCAAGGAGCCATGGATTGACTATGGAGGAGGAACTACCAGCAAGATTTGCACGTTGCTGCCAAGGCCTGAACGGGTTTGGAGGAGTTGGAGAAGGCATCGGCTGGAACGATTGTAGCTGAGGATAACGTCTAGCACTGTGACCTTGAGTGTTACAAAACTGACATTTGCCGAGGTATGGTTTCGAAACACGAGCTTTGGACCTTGAGTTGTTGTTGTTGTTGTTGTACCTTTTTCCTTGATTATTGTAGCGGTTGTTGCTGTTGCCACCATTGTTGTTGTTATGCTGAGCAACGTGAGCAGAAACCAGAAAGTTTGATGAATGTGACACCGTGGCTGTCGTGAGGAGTTTATCCTCGTGGTTAAGAAGCCACTCATGTACCTCGGTGATCGACGGCGGATGGTCTTTGCCCTCAATTTGATCCACGACAGGCTTGTATTCTTCAGGAAGTCCCGTAAGAATCTTCTCAATTATGTCTTCATGATCGGTTGGCTTCCCAAGCAAAGCCATCTCATCATAGCGCATCGTACGACCATTCATGTACACGTCAATCGTTTTTGTTCTTTTCGTCCAAACTGTGATCTGTCGACGTATTTGTTGAAAGTGGCTTCGACTCGGTTTAGCGTAGTTGTCGGAGAGCTTCTGCCAGATTTGAGTAGCC